AGTCTAATTTATCGAGCATTTTTGAACAAGATGACAAGTGATTCAGATGTAGAAACGCGTCTTCTTATCGATTTACAAATAGTCGGTTTTAAAGCAGCACTAAAATTTGGTGTGGTGATACATCCTTAATGGGGCAACTTAACATCAACAACATTGGTATATTCTATATAATTGTTAGGGTATTTCTAAATAAACCATATTTCTAAATTAGTATGAGTTTAATTCGTTCCTATAAGTACAATTTTCGAAATTTATTTGTTTATTGTTTAAATTCTATCAAATTCATCTAAATAATTGCCAATATTAGTGATCTACTTAGATACAGATATTACTAAAGATGTTGAAAATTATTAAAAGGGTAAAGAATGTCTCTTGTGATCAAGGGAAGATGCATTTGCGTGGTGTCCTATTTGTTACATCCATTGGGCAAGCTGAAAATAAAAAAGTTATTATTTGCTGTACTCATTCAAATCTCTTTATCTTATAAAATATTTAGGGATACTTTAATTAACTTAAATTATCGTCTTTTTATAGGAGCAGATTAAATATCTAGGCTACAGAAGTATCTTGAAGTAACTTGAAGCTGTGCAACTTGAAGTCGTTTTGTACATGTTAAAGTTGTTTCTTTTCTTCCTGCCGATAAGTAATGTTGTTTTTCTATTACAGAGCTATAATATAATATTTTTACCATTCGCTAAACGTTTAGGTAGCCAGGCACAATATAATGGAAGTTTTTGTTAAATTTGATATAGTACCTTTCTCTTATATTGTTCATTGTGTCCAGGTGCTCTCTCAGTTGCAAACTCGTACCAAGGTATATGCTATAATTAACTACTAGATAAAAAAATAATGTTAAAAAGATAAGTTTCATGAAGGATTGTGATGAAAAAAGAAGATATTTTTGTCAAAGCAAGTCACGAATGATAAGAAAAAAATATAGAAGATAACAGATGCCGTTTTTCAGTACTCGCCATTTCAAACGAGGCTGAGGCTTATGTTTAATGGTTGGCTTTGTATTTCATTACATTTAATATTTTTCGTCAGAATAGATACTTTAAAAATTCGTGTATTATGAAATATGAGTTACAATACGGAGAGTTTCTTTACAAACGAACGCACAATGCGTTATTGGTTAGCTCGTTTCCTGTCTAGAAATTTTGACTCGAAGAATTAACCTCTTTGTCGTCCGAACATTATGGGCAACAACGATGGATTAAAGGCGATTGTGAAAGCCGATGATACTCAATCTCCAGCTAGCATCAGATTTTAATGTTAGCATCAGCAATATTGGTCCATTTGCGACAAAAAATCAATGTCCCAAATGAAAAATGACGTCACTGTTTGGGGGTCTAGTGCTGGCGTGAACATCACAGCTTTTTGAAATCAAACTTTTTAAATTTTTACTGTGAAGAACTCAGACAATAATGGAAGCTTACACATCTGCAACCAGCATTGGTCAATCGGTCGTCACCCGCTGCTCCCTCACGACAAAGCGCGACACCACCAGTCTCCAAGCAACTAGAGTGGGAGTTGGAAGCTCTCCCTCATCCGCCATACTCAGGTCTAGACGTTGTACCTATCGACTATTACTTTTTCCAAAATTTTGACAACGCCTTAGCGGGAAAAAAAATTAAATTCCCGAGAGGCAGTAGAACAATCAAATTCAAATTCAAATTCAAATATTAACGGTGGTAGGGCCACGCAGAAGCCTCGGCTGTTGCACGAATGGGCAGGCCCGTCCGGGTAAGTACCACGACCTCACAGAAGACCAGCGTAAAGTGGAAGTATGACAAATACTTTCGCGTTTCGTCTGGTGAGTGAGGTAGCCGGAGCCCAATTTTCAAAAGGTTGTCAACACATCTGTAACCCTCGGGTGTAGCAGATGTCCATGGGCGGCGGTATTCACTTACCATCAGTTGAACCGTCTGCTCGTTTGACAACGTTTCACATAAAAAAAAAATCTTTATTAAACATAGGAGCATTACACTCACTTATTGATAATCAAAATAATATCACCGGTTCGGAAAAGAAAGCCACTGACCTGAGAAGAACTGGCGAAAGAAACTCTGTGGGCTGCTTTTTTTTTTTCATTTTTTGACGTATATAACATATTAATTACATTATAAAAAGTCCGATTGAAAGATCTTCAAGCGAAATACAAAATGCCTTTGAAGAGTTTGTTGCTTCCCGTCCAGGTGATTTTTACAAAAAGGGCAAATAAACTACCACTGCGTTGAGGATGCATCGATTGCGTGGGTGATTACTTTGAATAACGTAATAAAAGTTTGCAAAAAAAATACTTGAACTTATTTTATAAAAAACGGCAATTTCATAGATAAATACCAAGAAACAAAATACTAGGAGGTAGAAGTCGAAGAGCTAGCAACGTTTTCGAGAGAGAATTTCAGGTAGGCCACTTTATAGATATGCTATCTCTTTCACTCTTCCAGGTAGGCCGTATGAAGTCCGGGAGAGTGAGAGAGATAGCATATCTAAATCTTGGCCTACCTGAAAATCTTGCTTTCCCGACTCTGCTAGATCTCGTATCATAGGTAGTTCACGTTAAATAGATACCACTAAAGATTGATGTATGATGTTTTTGCAAATTTTACAGTGATAAGTTTAAAAAGTTATCACGAGAGTTTTATGAAAATTAATCGCTTCAGAAATGGAGATAAACCTGTTTTGAAGAAGAGCATTCGAGCCGAGAAATTAGAGGCAGTAATAAATGATAAGTACAATGAAAAATAATCGAGCAAGGCTAGAGTTAAGTTGATATAACAATGCCCATTCAGATATTACTATTACATACGTCTTAAGGCTTTTAGACAATTCCTTCTTGTCCTGTAGATATAATCAAATTTACAGCCAAACCCGCAATCGCAAACAGATCCGTTTATCCGGCAACCGTTATGCATTTGGTTTGGTGTGCACCCTGAAAATAAGACCAGGAGACTTTGTGGTCATGAAATTGTTTCACTATAATCTACTTATATCACTAAAGAAGCTCAGTAGTAAACGAACGTGATAACCTTTGTGCCATATAGTACAACACTTTTAGTATTTACACACATTAATTGCTAGAGCGGTATGTCTAAAAGCCACCGATTCAGGTATATTAAAATTGATGCAGATAAACGTAGTAAAATGAGACCCCCGGTCAAGGAAGGGAACTTAGGTATGTCGGACCCACCGTCGGGGGTCCCACCGGATAACACTACACACACAGTTAGTGTAGCAACAAACACATTAGTTTGCCCTCGCCTCCGAGCACGAAAAGACCAACACAACGCGTACACTAGGTACACTCGCGTTCCTGCGCGGTTCTCACCGCCCCCCAGCCACCGATTAGCTAAAAACACAATCGACGGCCTTCGGGGTCTTGGTCCGCACTACAACCTCGATGGCCCTTAGATGACATGCCGTAGTTAAACTCACGCATGAGCACATGCGCGGCCCTACCCACAGCGGAGGAACCAAACACGCGGTTTCTGGGCAGCCCACCGGTTCTGCCTCAGATGAAGCTTTAATAATCTCGATACTGAAAGCAAACATCAGTTAATACAAGATACAAAATGAGACTAGTTCGTTTAAGCCGCAATAAAATGAACACTTCTTTACTTTACAATGATGTTTTATGTCAAAACCAGATCCCATGAGCTGCATACGGCGCTCCGCATTGGGTGGAATCTCCAATTTGTTCATGCGTACATTTGTATGGTGAGGAATATGTATTGTAAGCCCTCGGGTGTTGCAGGTGTTTGTTCATGGGCGGTGGTATTCACTTATCATCAGATATGCCTGCTCGTTTGCCCGTTTTCTCCATAAAAAAACCTACAGGCTGTCGAGGTACGGACAGTGAACGGCTATCGGGCCACCAAATGGTGTCTGAGAATCCGTGGAACCCGGGTGTAGAGAGGAGACCAAATGGTCTTCTATCTCAAGGTATCGTTGACTTTAGATGTTCGTTCTAGTTTTCTGTTCTAACGAGCCCGAATCAGTAGGAGGTTTTAGTTGGTTGTGGTGTTCGGTCTCTTCGGTCTCTATTTGAGAAACCAGCCAATGAGGAGATTGGCGGTGATTTAGAGGGGTAACACCTAGGGGAGAGGCTGGAACATTGAGGACCGCCCGTCGTGGGGTAAAGAAACACGTACTTATTCTGCAAATAATTAGATAAGCACAGTGCAGTGAAATCTAGCAAAAAACAGAAGGAAAAGAACATTATCAGTAATTTTTGTAATTTCATTTGAATAACTCATATAAATCTCGAAAACCGACAGTAGGGTAAAGCGTTAAATTATAATACAATAGCTTAGCTTCAGTGCTTATATGCTTACCAGAGTGCAGAATTGGTTAGATATACTCGTGTATCCTGTTTTTACTCTAAAATAGAAAATGCTTAGCATTTTCTATAGCAGCGCTATAATTAGCGCTCAAATACTTTAAAAAATAAAACATTCCGGTAGAATCACTGATCTATTGTTTTATAGCTTGTTCTATTTTGGAGATGCTCAAGGGACCCAAGAGGCCCAGAGGTCGAGGTTTGAACCTAAGGTGACTTTGGATCGCGTCATACTGTCGTTTTAAATCAAATAATCCACCTTTCGTTAATAGAGGCAGCGGAAAAGCAGCGGGGCGGACGGGGTTATTGTGTTCCCGTGGTGCACTAACTACGTTGTTTCTCTCAAGTTACAGGACAGATTAGGCAACGAAAATTGCCAATTGCACCTAAAAGCGTACTTCAAAAGAAACTAAGAAAATAATTAATCAAATACGTAATAATACTTAGTAATTAAAGACATTTTAAATGTGAAATATTTATTTTGCTTTCACAGGCATATAAAATTAAATTCAATAATTTCTATATTAATCAACTACCAAAATATTTATTTATTTTTAATTAACTAGCAAAACACTATATGGTAACAAGCCTGTGCGAAATGCCAAAATTAAAGGAAATAAATAAATTATATGATATCTTATTGTTATTTCTCATATCAAATGACTACACATTCGTGAGGGAACACCAGACCTCGAACTGGACTAATTGGACAAGCTGAAACAGCAATTGAATCTATTAATTTATATATCTAATACATTAATTTATGTTCGTAAGAATGCATGCAAAAAAAAAGAAGCAAGGCATGCTTATATACATGTATATTATAGTTATATTATTAGAATGTATAGACAGCAGCTTACCCAATATTAGTTTAGCTGTTTACATTACGGTATAAGTTGTACGGATTCAAAATGTTGCGCCCCATTTTTATTTCTGTATTACTGTGTTAATCAACGTATTAATAGAATATAAGATAAACTTCTTTGGAAAAACCTCAAATTTTAAGTATTTTTTTATTTAAAAGGTTATTGATAACATTGTTTAGCCAGGTGTTAATAGCGTTTCTCGTAAATTAATGGCCCTTACGTTTATTAAAGATTTTATTATATCATAATACCTTTCTCGCATCGTTGACCATAGTACCCTGTGCCTTCACATTTGCAAGCAAATCCTGGCTCTTGTACAGTTTGAATGCAGATACCTCGGACGCATGGCTGGCGGTAACAGATGTTCGAACTTCTTTCTATATTTAAAATAAAAACAGAACATAATGTGATTTTTATGATAGACTGTGGCAAGAAATAGGCACGCTTCTATTAGTAATAAATTACGGCAGTTCGCTTTAAACCTAATATATTCGAGCACCATGAGTTCAATCTCCGTTGCCGACACGTGTTCAGCGGTGAAGGAAAACAATGAGGAAACCTGCATATTTTCGTAATAGTAACAAAAAATATTTCGAAAAATGGTCTTGTTATCTCTGAGGAAAGTTTGTCGATGTTGTTTGAATTTAAATTTTAGATTTTGTCACCTCGCAAAGCGCTTAGACACGCTCTCCTTGTTCTATAGATGTACTCGGTTTTGCAGCCAAAGCCGCAAGTGCACGATGATCCGTAAATCTTGCATCCATTCTGAGTCTGATTTGGCTCACACGCTTTTACGTACCCTGTAAATATATTATATTCAGGTAAATTCAGTCTCTTTATGACTCATACATGTAACACAGCCTCACAGAAAACAGCATAAAGAAGTTGATATGACCGGGGCCCAGCCCATTAAATATTGGTTACTTAGGACCAAGAAAGTGCCCGAGAAATATATATATATATATATATAAATTATTTGTACCATAGTTGAAAAGTAATGCGTAGGTCTTGCATATTACCGTTTAATTAATGATTCGATTTATTTTGTTTCAATAACGCATTTTATATTTTTATGATAGAACTAATTTTCGATAATATTTTCACTTTAATTTTTTTATAATAAATGTTGTTAACCTTTGCACCAACATATTATATCGTTTAGAACACAGAATCTCACATTCTTTGTTTTTACAAATGATGTGATATTGTCATCTACATCAATGATAGTTTCTTTATGAATAATATGAATAACATGAAACATATGATATGAAAATTCATGAATAATATGAAAAATAATGCAGCCATGTCCTATGACTTTGTAGAGAAAAATAGTTAGCTGTTGCTGCACTTACAGATAGCGTAGCGAGAATTTACATGTAAATCGCATAACTAGTTCTATTATTATTGGTAAGGTCCCAAAATATTACCACGGTGGTATGGCTATGCAACAGTGATCACTATTTATATTTGGTAGTTCGGCGAACAGAAGACCGGCGTGAAATAGAAGTGTTCCAGTTCTCCGTTTCGTTTAGTTTGTGAGGTAGCCGGGGCCCACTTTATCAAGAGGCGCATCTGCATCCCTACGGGTGTTGCAAATGTCCATGGGCAGGCGGTTATCACTTTACATCAGGTGACCAGCTTGTTTGCCATTTTTTCCCATAAAAAACACGAAAACTCAGTAATAAATGTAACATGAAACTTTTATCGACAAAGATATTGATCTGATTGGGAACCAGCAAGTCCGGGCAAAGTAGCTCTTTTAAGTCTTCGAGTAGTCGAACGAGTCACCTCACATGGACATCTATAGCACCTGTTGGGTGGCAGACGCGATGTTAAAGTTCAAACAGTGCGCTACAAATACCTCACTCACGCTAGTCTTCTGTGAGGCAGAAGTTCACCGGGCGAGTTTTCCCTTTCGTGCAACAGTGGAAGCAGTTAACAGAGCGAAAAATGTATACAGTCTTATAAAAATATTCTTCTACAGTCGAACTATTTGGTTGAGGCAATTCAGACAATTTTAGCCCTATATTTAATGTTATGCAATCTCTTTTGTTTTTATAAGTATGCAGGTAAACAGGTTATTCATTTTTAGTCTCACTTTTTTAAAACTCAATACATTTTAAAAAGCCGGCCAAGTGCTAGTCGGACTCAAGCACGAAGGTTCGCACGGAATTGAAGGGCACAAGGGCGAATCCAGCTTTGGTGTTAGCTTTGGTTCCAGATAAGAAGTTATAATTTGATTTTTATAATCATAGACACAAGTAAAAAATAGTTTTTTAACCGACTTCAAAAAGAAGGATTTTTTATGTATGTTCGGGCATAACTTCGTCATATATAGACGGATTTTCAAAATTCTTTTTTTGTTCGTAACATTTCGTTGCTTTTTATTATCATATATTATACAGGGTGCATTTTATAAAGGTGCCCAAATTCACACAAGAGGTTCAAACTCGGTAGTATCTTATCCTTTAAACGAGCCATTCTTGTATATATATAATCGGAATCTCGGAAACGGCTCCAGCGATTATCATGAAATTTAGTATGTGCGTAGATTCGGGGGCGAAAAATCGATCTAACTAGGTTTCATTTTTAGAAAATGTCGTTTTATCCCTGTTTTCAGGGAATAAAAAATATCATTCGAATATGACGGTAAATTTCGCCGCAAAAGAAAATGTTATAATAGCTCGGTCGGTAATTGGGCGGCCCCAAAACATTCGGCCGTGGTTCATGTCACGATCATTTACACACTCTTTTTTTTACTTTTTTTTCGATTCCAGACCATTGCTTTCTTTATTTTTTATTTTTCGTTGATCCAGATGATTTTGTTATTTTTTTCCTTTTTTTTAAAGTTGTTTCTTTTGTGAAAAACACCACTTCATATTTTCTTATTATTAGGTCGGTAAGATCGAAAAATATTATGCATATTTCATTACTCAGTAATTTGTATCTAAATGTCATTTCCAAAATACATGATTTACAAAAAAAAAAACAAACCGAGCAAAGCTCGGTCTTCCAGGTACTAATCGTTTATAGAAATAAACTTAACTTTTTTTTAAATTGGTATTTTATTCCCTAAAAACAGAACTTGTTGACAATATCGGTAGTCATTCATAAATGCGTCGTATACTTTTGAATGGATACACTTAGAAAAGCCTCCCCGTATAGAATTTTTTAAGTAGCTATTGGTAGGCAGTTATTTTTGAAATTTCTTTTTATTTATTTTTTCGTTACCTGATTTTATGTAGTCGTATTGGTTATAATATTTTTCAATTCCTCTACTCCGCAAGCTGGCTCCACTTCAATGACAAGTAGCATAAGACGGGACTATCGGGACACGGGTTAATAATAATATATAATCTACCCAAATGAAAACTCCTAAAATAGCCGTACACAAACTAAAATTACATGGTCCATGTTAAAAAAATGTTCATAAATAACAAAAAAAAAAATTATTCAGTCATTCATTATTTTTTCATAATATTCAGAGCTCATCCATCTAATCAAAGACAAAATCCACATTCATAACAAACGGTACGAACAAACTTTATTTCCCAAAGATGGGGTCGCATGCTCACGTCCACTTAACCAACACCTCCCACCAACCATTAAAAACGGTCCACCCATTAAGACGAATCAAACTCGAAGCAGTTGTGTTCCTTAATTACTGGGGTCCTATGGCCACATTCCAGCTCTGTCATTAGATCATAGTTACCATCTAGCACCTAAGAACTCGAAGACGAATCAAACGAGCTGAAACTCGATAGGGTTGAGTCGTTTCATTACAGAGTGGTCATAGGAACCTCACAGAATAGCCTCATAGACCTTACAGAAGATCGGCGTAAAGTACTTCTGCGTTTTGAGTTTTTGTGAGGTAGCCGGAGCCCACTTTATTATAAGGAGAAATGTGTTATGCTGAAGATGGAGCTCCATCATCAGATCCTGGTTACCAATGAAAGACAAACTACTCGTCAATACGATTCAAAAGAAACTCCTCCTTTTGAAGTCGGTTAAAAATATTATATTGATTTAATTAAATATTGAACGTAGTTACATAAAACGTATATTGTGGCAAAAAATATATAAATACATAATGTTTAACAAATTTTAATTAGTGGTCCAGGGGGGGGGGGGGGGCGGCATGACCCCCTCCTGGATCCGCCCTTGGTTAAGTACCATTATCCATAAAAACGGATATATTTTTTCAACGAAATTATGTTCTATAATACCTAACTGTCTGTATTCAATTTCATAAATGAGTAACTCAGAGACAAATATTTCAATGACCGCATCGTCTCTTGCACGAATTTCTCGTCTTTCACTTTTTGATTCCTCCCGCTCCTAATCCTACCCTACTTCTTACTATTGTTATAATTATAAATGTGAAAATTTGTGGAAGTGTTGGGATATTTGGATGTTTTTTGTTTCTTCCTTTTGCTACAGGGATAGATTGTAGCCTGTAATAAGACATAGGGTTCTTTTTATTTCTGGAATGAGTTGTGGGAACGGGATCATAATTTCAAGATTACTATTGGTCGCGATAACCGAAACAAACGCGGGCGAAGCCGCCATCAGGCCAACGGCTAGTAAAGGAAATAATTATACATTTAATTTATTGATATCACATCTTAGGATAAATTAAATGTTAATGATTTGTATGATTTTTAAAATTCGAGCTCTTGTGGAACGCTGGATATTGAGGGGTGAATGGAATATCTGGTTTTTGCGAAGTCTGTTACTGTAATTCAGCAGCCGGGATCAATGCAAACAATTCTAAGGAACACTACCCGGGAAAAATGCGTTAGAAGATGCACAGTATTCCAACATCACTACCTAAAGCCAAAGAATCAAGGGTCGAACTTGATTATCGATAGTCCAAGCCGCCCTACGGTGGATTCCGATAAATAGCTATACGGTTCTCCGGCTCCCGCCTAGAGATGAGTTTCCACAATAGTACTCCATGTGGGGCTGGATTTGCGCCATGTACTCGTACATGTTTAAACATTGAGCCGACGTGAACTACTGTTTCGCATTGATGACCATACTCTTACTGTTACTGGTTGGAGCGGACAGAGGAGTGTACTCAAAATGAGTAAATACGATAAATGGTTACTTTTCAGAGGTCAACGCGCAAAATTGTGTTTTTGGGGTTGAAAGGGACTAAGTTTAGTCGACCTCTGTTGTTCCGGCTCTTCTCCTATACAACATGGACGAGATCTGGAAATATTAACTACTAATGAGGTCTGTCTGTGTAAGTACCACAAACTCAATGAAGGCCAGTGTAAAGTAGAAGTGTTATACTTCTGCGTTCCGTCTGGTCAGTGAGTTAGCCGGGGCCACGGCCACTTGATAATAAGGTGGCAAAGCGTCTGCAACCCTTCGGGTGTTTCAAATGATCAACATGGGCGGTTATCACTTAAATCAGTTGAACCGTCTGCTCACTTGGTATCTTCTCACATTAAAAAAAATCATTCGAAAAACCGTATCACTACGTGTTGTGTTAGCGTAAATAAGAGGCATTAAACTTAATTAAGCTCAATTATATTTTTGGTGGGAAGGAGGAGGAGGGGTTCATATTCCTTTGGAGGCGCAGAGTGGGTCTTTTGGGGTCATGAAATATTTCTACTAATTGTAAAATCAGTAATGAGTTCAAAATGCCTTTACAGTAAGCACTGCAATAACGGATATAATAGAGGCGTTGATAATATTCGCGTTGGGTTGTTATTATCAAGCAAGCTTCCGCTTCTACATATTTAACTCTTATGTGTGTTTTCTATATATTATATAAATAGAAACCACGCGTTTATGTTTCAGCAAATCGGATGACAGTATATTTTATAATACTAAATAAATGTAATAAATATTAAAATCTTCCGTATTAATTAAATTATAGTACCCGGTGGACCGGTGGTTTGTTTTTTTTTTTTTTTTTGGTAAATCGTGTGTTTTGCAAATTACATTTAGATACAAATTACTGAGTAATGAAATATGCCTAATATTTTTCGATCTTACCGACGTAATAATAAGAAAATTTGAACTGATGTTTTTCACAAAAGAAAGAACTTTAAAAAAAAAGGAAAAAAATAACAAAATAACAAATCGACAAAAAATTAGGATTATAGTTATATAAGGAAACGTCTTTTCATCAAGTAACGGTTACAAGTATATCAAGATCTGTGTAATAGTAATTTTTTTCTTTAATTGTATGATTTTCATGTGACTGAATATAAAAAGAAACTATAACAATGTATTTAACCACTCATATCCACAGCATTAGTTCAAAAAGGCCTTCAAAATATCACAAGTTACGGTTATTTAATATATTTTCAAACAACTATATCTTTAGTGTATTCACATCGTAATTTTATAAAAATATATTATATTTAGAATTCACCGTTATACTAAGCTATATTATTAAATTATTGCAACAATTCCTGATCGTTCGAAATCATTTGTATATCGTGAGCGTTATTGAATCTGCATCATTCAAGGGTCTATTAAATCCTGGAGCATTGAGCTAACAACGCAAATCGCAATTATTTGCGTCGGGGATCGAACCAGGTCGGGGCCGAAACGGGGTCTTTTGAATAACTACATCATTTATCCACTCTATGCCTATTGTAGCTGTATTCATCTGGCATTACATATGGAATCAGTACTTAAATATACAACCTTATGTTGTATAGATATATTAGTCATCAATTTCGACCTTCTATTAGATTAATTTGTAAGTCAAAGTCAGTGCCTAAGATTAATCAATACCTATTGGTTGTAATTGACTGATGAAGTCCTATAAACTATCGAAGGTATTGTTGCCCTATTTTCGTTTAACTAATATGGCAATATGAAAACCTGCAATATATCTATATTATATTGTTTATAATATAGATTTTGAGTCGTGACGATTTCCAAATTTCATTTGAAACCACGACCCGAAAGATCAAAGCATTGCCTTCGGCTTAGTCATTATAACAACAAAAACTTTATAATTATACCAAACCACTCCTTATTGCGGTTTTTATTATTGTAATAATATAAAACTCGAACGCGCGAATTTTTTTGACTTTATTGTTATCCTATAAATGATTGTTTAATCCAATATATGATATACATAGCTCAGATATTACAAGCGGGATGATAATGTTAAGAAATTATACTTGAAATTAAAAGGAATGGCGCAATGATGCTATTTGGGTCAATTTAAATGCCCGGCTAACTTTATTACATCCGAACGAATAGCAAAAGCAGATAAAGTTATTACAAGAAGTTGTTTATGCTACAATATTTAAATTATAATTCGATATGCCATGAATAAAATTTTTCTAGGTTTGTTTAATTCTTTCTATGCCGGGGCTTAATGAGCTAAAGTTGATACCAGTGTGCAGTCATACTAAATGGTTTACATCAGAAGCATTTAGCATCAGAAGTAAATGTCATGTGACTGTAAAATGTCTGAATAATACTAATAATTTGTCAGTGGTGGCTCTAAGCGTTATTTTAAAAATATTAGTTCAAGTTAGATCAAAAATCTAAACAATATGTATATACATAGATAAACATTCAATATATTGCATCTGCATCTTATAGTTTTAATATTTTGAAATCTATGCAGTAAGTTACATGAGTAAATGCGACGAAAAAATATTTTTTCTATTTATAAAAAATCAATCTTTAATAAATATGTCAACTTTAAAATAATTTGAAAGATATATTTAAACTCTACAAAACAACGTTTTATTACTTTTGACAACGTGTCAAAAGTAATAAAATAAATACAAAAAAGTTATAAATAAAAATATCCCACTACTGGACATAAATTAATAATGTAATAAAAAAAAATTAATAAATTATTTTTATAATCAATTATTAAGTAAGAATATACTTAAAACATAGTTACTAAAATTAATCATTAACTATTTAGGTAATCGCAAACTGATAGAGGCTGCGTATGTTAGTGTATTTATCGCCAGCATTTTATTCACAAAAGTTTTAAAATGCTTTAAGCGATTTTAATTCATTTATACATCTATCTACTAATCATTTTTTAACATTTAATCAAAACGTTATTAATTTGGTTTACTTCTACTTTGCTTGAAATAAAGAAAACACAATAAATATGTATAAACAGTTGCAAATACTACAAACAAAGAGTAATAAATATTGAAATTAACAGTTTCAGCTCGCTTAGTTTTTTTTGCAGTGCTTAATATTGCGCAAGTATACTTACAGAAGAGGCAAGTAATTATGAGCAGCAGGAGGGACGTGCTTATGACACGCATTGTCGCTATGATGTGTCGTCTGCGACTGTATACTGATACTGCATTTCCTCCGAAAGTGTGAACGGCCGCCATATCAAACCCTATCTGTAACAGCTCTTAAACTACGACCTCTATATTTGAGTATGTTCTTTGTATTCTTTACATGTACCTATACGAGCTACTAATGAACTTTGTTATGATATAACGGTGTTCAGCAATTTGTATATTTATTTTAAATTCAGTATTAAATTTTAATAATAATCGGGAGCCTTCCATCTAATATTAGCTAATGCCAGTCAATTTTACGCGTTAACAAGGTCAAAAATGTGTATGGATATGACGGAGTACGGGGAATATTACAAATAAAGCGGCCCTAATACGGACCTATAAAAGTATATCGGGCGGATAATTTATGATATCGAGATTTATTGCTGTTCCTTATAATATTTAGCCTGGCGATATTTATTATAGTTTTTAGTGACAGAACTAAAATTATTTTATAACTTCTGCGTTCCCTTTGATATGCGAGTCACTGAGTGTAACGGATATTATTATTATACTGGGGACTTCATCTACATAATTCTTGTCAACGGATTAATAAATTTTTATCCGAGTAATCTGAGTGATTATAACTGTTCAGTGAATTTTATGTCCACGAACGAATAACATGTCTATGTATACGCTTCTGTATATATAACGGGGACGCCATTAATCGCCCTCATAATATCGTAGACTTATAGCCCAGAATATTCAGATTTGCCTGGACAAAACAGGCAGATATGAAAACAGTGTCATACAATCATAGGGGAAACAACTGACGGAGACGTATTTGAAATTTTTCTACGTCAGTTGTTTCCAGAAAGGCCAGCTTCGATGAAGCTATTCACATTTTGCGGGATGCCTGAAAAATACTGAGCCCGGTATTTTCGTCTAACGTTTTGTCACTTTGGCGTGCCAGCAGCGCATTGCGAACGAGTTTCAGTGCCCCCGCTTGTTTTTTTTGTTGAATTAAACGAAAACGAAGGAAAAGGATATATATATTTTTGTTTGATTTCTAATAGGTTTTAACAAATTGTCATTTATAATATGAATTTAAAATAAAGCAGCAAAATTGTGAGGGACGCTAACAGAAATGCAGACGGTCCAAATGAATCTACATGTTCCAAATGTTAGGGATATGGGTAACTTAGTCAGAAGGGACTGAACTTTCAACTTACAGTGCCACCCGGAAAGAGGTTGATACGCTTGCTAATAAAGTATTGCGACAACGTCGGGAAAATATTAGAAGGACAGCCTCAGTGCCCTGCGGGAGTCAGAGAAACGGATCCTGCTGCTCCTTCTGCCAAGCTGTTATGCTCCAGAGGGGAGAGTCTCGGGCTCATAGAATAGGGCTTAGGTATCCCTTGTCTGTCGCAAAAGGCAACTAAAATGGATCATGGACTGGCAGCAGTCCGAACTGGTCTATTCGTTATCCTCCTCCGAGGCGTGCTCGCGTGCAGTACCTAGGTACACCGGTGTGTTCCGTAGGAGATATCTGAGACCCTCCTAACATGCAGAAATTAACCACCGAGAGGGTTTTAGTGGGTCCGATTCCAAAATAACTCTATCATGCGAGAAATGTTATTCTTACGGAGACTTGGTTGGATAGTTCAGTATTTAGTAGTGAATTATTTGATAGTGGTTACGTTGTTCATAGAAGAGATAGAGAAAGTTCAAATCAACAGTATAAAAAAGGAGCTATAAAAAACAAAGCGAGTTGAAACGTGGGACAGTTACCTTCAGGATCTGTTGGATCTGTCAGGTAATCAAAGTAATAAATAAATGTACGTAAAAGTTGATAAAGTCGATTTGCGCAGTTTACTTACCTCCACCTATACGCCGTTCTTTAGAAAAATGTTTATCAAATTTCTGACAGTAAGTTGACCTTTAATCCAGATTCAGAAAGTATAAGAAAATAATCATCTAAGATATTAGGATTTATCATAAGAAATTGTAATTCCTTTCACAATTTATAAAAGTAAATCATTGCTTTACAATAACCTAGTCGGAAGTATCCTTGAATACTGTAGTGTAGTCTGGCGACCTCACTACTCTATGCAATCGTTACATATAGAAAGAGTTCAAAAACGTTTTGTGGCATTTTCTGAGGGCAAGTCAAAAAAAATAATAATCTTATGAAGAAAGACTTCATTATTTCAAGGTAAACTCCTCATCTCATAGGATAAAAGAGAAGTTCTTGATGCTAACTTTGTAAGTGAACTTTTAAATAACAAAATTGATAGTCCACAACTATTGAATTTACTTAAATGTCCACCATTAAGAACAGTGCTGGGAAGTAATTCCCTATATTTAAAATTTTGCAAATAATTAATTTCTTGAGAGATCAAATAGATTTTCGTTTTGACTCAATAGCAATTTTTTTTTAAATAACGTAAACTCATTTTTTATAGTTTAAATGTAGTACCACATCGGTATGAGCAAGCCATAATTTAATTTTGTAACTGTTACTTGTAGACCACATTTTTTACTTATTATTTTACTATTTTATTTATTATTATTGATGATTAAGTTGTGTACTTGCTGTGTCTGTGCTGTGTCTTATTTTTAAGTTATTGTTACACTAATTACGGGTTGCGCAGCAGAGGATCTTAAAAAAGCGTTTTAATATAAAATAATATTTAATAAAGGTTTTATAAAAGTTCTTAATACTAATACTTAAGACACTAAGGGGTGTCCTATCGGTCTGGAGTTAGGATGACAAAAGGCGTCGGTAGTTGATTTTATTGAAGGAAGCACCGGTCATTGCTCAATTGATTTTTGTACAGTACGATGGTGCCTGGGGGTGTAAAACACTATAATTTTTTTATTATTAAGATGTAGAGTAAACAATTGTTGATAGGCCTTTTAGAAATAAAAAAAGGACAGTATCTTTTGAAGATTTACCTACCAAGTAGAAGTGGGCGATACAAATCGTATCAGATATGAAAACTAGATATTAGTACAATATCCCAATATCGCTTACTGGCTCGTTCAATATCTATGTATTATACAATATCTGATATTTCCGAAATCTGAACCGTCTGATGTACCGTGCTCGCTCGCTATACCGACACGAATCGCGATACGGATATCATACGCGTTTGCCACAATATCTGATTTTTTAAACAGATTTCGAGAGACAAAGCGCGTGAGATACAAATACTCACTAGTTAGAGTGGGACGGCAAGCAATGCACGATATCAGATAACGAGCGACAAAGCGCGTGAGATATAAATACTTACTAGTTAGAGTGGGACGGCAAGCAATGCACGATATCAGATAACGAGCGAGCGACAAAGCGCGTGAGATATAAATACTTACTAGTTAGAGTGGGACGGCAAGCAATGCACGATATCAGATAACGAGCGACAAAGCGCGTGAGATATGAATACTTACTAGTTAGAGTGGGACGGCAAGCAATGCACGATATCAGATAACGAGCGACAAAGCGCGTGAGATATAAATACTTACTAGTTAGAGTGGGACGGCAAGCAATGCACGATATCAGATAACGAGCGACAAAGCGCGTGAGATATAAATACTTACTAGTTAGAGTGGGACGGCAAGCAATGCACGATATCAGATATCGAGCGACAAAGCGCGTGAGATATAAATACTTACTAGTTAGAGTGGGACGGCAAGCAATGCACGATATCAGATTTTTAAACAGATGTTATGAATAAGTTAAGTAATTTTGAATCTTAACACCATGCAAATAAGATCCGTTTCATTTAAATACTAATCTTGGTATCAGCGATTACTACAACGATATTATTATATTTTTATTGTTTTGTTTAGCCTTGAGCCGTAACGGGCGACAAAGCGCGCAGTTAAGTAATTTTGAATCTTAACAGCATGGAAAAAAACTCTGTTGCATTTAAATACGAATTACGGTATTAACGATGTCTTTGAAATTTTGTTCAGCCTTGAGCTGGATTGCATTGGTACTTAACACGTAATAGTAAGGGATGCCAACTTACTACTTAAGAATTTTCAGCCTAAATTAAGGAAGAAAAATATACAATGGAAATTTTTTAGGAGGTAAATTTTTTGTGAATATTTTTATTAGCTAAATTTTATTCATATTTTTGGAAAAAAAATAAAAGTACACAAAAAGAAAAATATTATTTAATAGTGCTGTGCTGCTTTGTTGGAAATCAGACCAAGGCTTATGTGCCTTGTGTGTATATTTTAAATTCTTCCGCCCTAAGCTATAATACTGAATGTATTATTTCTTACACAAATAATAGAAATATTGCCACTCGATTGCGTGTTCTAAAAATATGTTAAAGTCAATTATTAAGCGGTATATAAGATGTTAAAATAAATCATTTTTATATTACTTCAATTTATATTTTAAATGAAATTTTTAATTTAATAATTTAAAAAAACGCATTTTTAGTAAGACAGGGTTAATTATTAATGATCGTCGAACAAGAGTTTCGACGAATAAAGTCAGAGAGCTTACGTTCCTAAACGTGAATTTGAACCCGGAGGGATATAAATAATTATAAACCCTGACATAATTGTAAATATATAATGTTAAGTTTTAAATATAAGGAAAATTATGTACATAGAATGAATCAACTTTTAAATACGCCTGCACAATTTTATATTTATAATAAGTATGAAATATTGCAGCAAGTCCTAAGCCTGGAAAAAGTATGAAGGGAAGTTATTTCATTCATCTTATATCCACTCCCTTAAAGTATACTTTTTTTTTTTTTTTTTTTTTTTTTTTTTTTTTTTTTTTTTTTTTTTTTTTTTTTTTTTTTTTTAGAATTCAATTAATCAACGTGGATAGGGAACCGTAAAATATCTAGATATTAAAATACATAGTTTCGAAATGTGATATTTGAAATCGATATCGGATTCAGATACGGTACTCAGAAAACGCGATACGACCCATCCCTACTACCAAGAAATGGTGGACGGCCTGCTTTTTTAACCAATTTAAGAGAACCATCGGTCACTTTGCAATA